CTCTCTCTCTCTCTCTCTCTCTCTCTCTCTCTCTCTCCTCTCTCTCTCTCTCTCTCTCTCTCTCTCTCTCTGTGTCTGTCTGTCTATCTCTCTCTCTCTCTCTCTCTCTTGCTCTCTCTTGGCAGGAGTTTGTGAGGAGATGCTCGGGGGACGAAAAAGGAAAGCGCTGTGATGAATCTTCGTCAGGAGAATTGGGACTTTGGAGTAACTGCAAAGTAATGTCGACAAAAATTCGGCGAAACATTGAAGAAAAAGGACAAATCGGACGAAAGCCTGCAGTTTGAAATGGATGAGCGAAGGGATTGGTATCGAGGTTAGGTTTCATCATCTGGCAGAGGGGTTAAAAGAAAGGGAGAAGAAAACGTTTGAATAGCCCTTAGCGCCGTGGCTATTCAGTGTTTGTTGAAAATCGGATGGGAGAAGTAGGTAGTCTCCTCTTGCAGTCATTATCCTGTTCATGACTGACTTGACGTTTCTATTTCTATTGTGATTATATTATCTATTATTTATTATTATTATATTATTATTATATTCTTTTTCTTATTTGTATCCTTATTATTATTATTATGATTAGTCTTTTTATGTTTGCTGTTCTGGGCTGCTGAGAGCAAACTCACACTCACGAGGAGTTTTGTAACTGATCTCTGCACGTTATTGCGGTCAGATACATCCACGGCTGCTGTAAAAGCGACCAGATACATCAAAGCACCTCCCAATCACCTACTGTGAGTATGTCCTGAGAGGGACATTCCTGAGGGGAACAGGACAGAGTGGGGTGCAGATGAAAAGAAAAAGAAATTGATGAAGATAAAAAAAGAAGAAAGAGAAGTTGGTTTTATTAAGACCAGTCTAATCGTCTCTTGGATCGGGATATTATTATTTATTTTCTATTTTATTTTTCATTTTAATTTAACCAACCAGGCCTCTCGTGAAGCCGTGGAGGATTGGCAGAAGAGGGGAGGGTAAGCGGAGCTAAAAATAGTAGCTGACGGTTCACGACAGAGAGCATGACCAAAAACGCCAAGGATTGTCGAGGATGTATCTCCACTGGATATATCTCGACTGGATTTCTGGCCAGATTCGGTTGCCAAAAGTACTTTTGAGTTCCGGCCAAACTACGTTCCCGCTATTATCTGGTGCTGGGTGCGATGTCCAAGCACCACTATGACAGGGTCCTTCTATTTGACCCTTCATAATCTGTTTGTGTTCTCCCCAATTCCGTTCCCGCCATCTGTTCGAGTTCCCGCCAACTTCGTTCCCGCCATCTGTTTGTGTTCTCCCCAACTCCGTTCCCGCCATCTGTTCGAGTTCCCGCCAACTTCGTTCCCGCCATCTGTGTGAGTTCCCGCCAACTCCCTTCCTGCCATCTGTTTGAGTTCCCGCCAACTCCGTTCCCGCCATCTCGTTCCACTCGTTAGAATCTCTGTTTACACTCAAATTTCCCGGAACTCTATCGAACAACTTTCCCGCCATTTTGTACCATTTTCGCCAGTGCATTTACCTGTCTGACTTTGTCACTTGCCTGTATGTTATCCATCTCTACCTATATCTCATTATGGATAGCTGTCAATCTGCCCATCGATCTTCGTTTCCTGCCAATTCCGTTCAGTTCTCTTTTTCTTCTCTCTCTTTCTTTTGATCGACCACACTATCTTTTCTACTTGTCCTTCTGTACCTCTCTCTCTCTCTCTCTCTGTCTGTGGCTGTCTGTCTGTCTGTCTGTCTATCTACATAGCTAGCTGGTTACCTAATATTATCTTCGGTTTGCGAAAACTTTCCCGTCATGATCTTGTTATGCGCTGGTCACTCTATCGATCTATGAACTTGCTTATCTATCAATCTAGTCTTATCCTCGACATGAACCTTATCAATTATCGATCACGTAATTGATCTAGAAGTATCTCTGATATCATAATCTTTTTGTTTTTTGGTTTTCTGTACATGCCTCAAGAGCTGAGTGAACCTATCGAATTTATTCTGATTATCATTCCTTTTTTTCCTTTTTTTGGACTCGTGGGGGGGGGGGGGGGGGGGGCGGTGTTGGTTGGATTTATTGAAAGTGAACGATCAAGGAAACTCAATCTGCGAGTTAATTTTCGAACTCGTGTTTTTTTTTTTTTTTTGGTCTTTTTCTAACATTTGCTGCTCTTCTGAGCAGGGTGTTGGTTCTTACTGTTCCTATATTATATTATTATTTTGCTCTTTCAATATGGTATTGTAAATATTAATATGAATATATTATGACATATTTTATATTATTATTAATCTTTTAATATCTATATCTATTTATATAGTCAAACAGAGCTGTATATAGTCAAACAGAGCTTCCCAGTAAACCGTAGTCATAGAGGGAGAAGAGGACATATATATGACGATATATATATATGTTTGTGACGATATATATATATACGATATATATGATGAGTCGGTGAAACTCCGACGAAACAGTTTGTCACAGCCCCTCGTTTGTTGTCCTCTTCTCCCTCTCTGCCTACGGTTTACCGGACAGTTCTATTTGACGATATATATATTCCACTGTCTGTCTATCCGTGCTCGTCGACCGCTATATTAAGGAACACATCATGGGGATCTCGGCCAGTCGCGGTGGATACTTATTGATGGACAGCAGCCAGAATGATTCCACGTGGGACGGAAAAAGCGCGGAAAAGTTCGAAGGTCCTGCAGTCGGGATCGATCTGGGGACAACCAACAGCTGTGTCGGGGTCTGGCATGATGGCCATGTGGCGATCATTCCGAACGATTACGGTAAGTCGACCACTCCGTCGTGTGTGGCCTTCACGGAAGATGGGCGCATCCTTGTCGGGGACAGCGCCAAGGATCAGGTGGCGGGGAATGCTGCTAACACATTGTTTCAGGTGAAGAGATGGATAGGGAGGCGGTTCGAGGATCTGTGCAAGTACGCGGCGGCGCCGCTATGGCCGTACAGTCTGACGATGGCGGCAGCGGATCCCGACGACGCCACAGGCGGCGGCGGCAGCGGAGGAGGAGATGGAGTGGGGTGTCTGATAGAGCTATGGCAGCAGAACAAGAAGAAGACGTACGCGCCGGAGGAAATTTCGGCGATGATTCTGTCGAAGATGAAGGAGATTGCTCAGGCGCACTTGAAGTGCAGCGTGTCGAGCGCGGTGGTGGCCGTTCCTGCCAATTTCACTCAAGCTCAGAAGCTGGCGACCAAGGACTCAGCGCGCCTTGCAGGGTTCGAGTGCGTGCGCTTGATCACGGAGCCTTCGGCGGCTGCGCTTGCTTACGCCGTGCGCACTAGCGGATCCTCCGCCATCGCTAGCGACTACTGTGAAGGCGGTGGCGGGCTTGTCGGCGGCTTGGTGCGAAGGAAAGGCCGCCTGCGCATCCGTAATCTCGATGACAACGGCGCGCTGTCCAAAACCGTCATGGTTGTTGATTGGGGAGGGGGAACATTTGACGTGTCAGTGATGAGGATGGGTAATCGAGAGTTCAGAGTGATTGCAGTCGCGGGAGACACGCAGCTGGGCGGGCAGGATATAGACGACTTGATGGTGGCGCACTTCGCGGAAGAGTTCCGCCGCGTGCGCGGGTTCAGCGTGCAGGAGGACGCGGAAGCCATGCAGAGGATCAGGAGTCGGTGCGAGGCAATGAAGCACACGTTGTCGGCGGCCACGTGCGCAGATGCAATGCTAGAAGGGCTGTGCGGAATCGGCGGGAGTTTCGAGATGAAGATGACGCGCGCGGAATTGGAAGAGATGAGCATGCCAGTGTTAGACAAGTGCATGAACCTGGTCGATAGGGCGCTAAAAGATGCGGGAGTGAGGAAGACCGACATCGCGAAGGTGATTTTGGCGGGAGGCTCAATGCGCATGCCGAAGATCCAAGAGCTGCTCTCCACGTTTTTCGCTCACAAGACCCTCTGTAAGGTCATCCATCCCGACGAGTGCGTCGCTTACGGCGCCGCCGTGCAGGCCGCACTTATTACCGGAGATATCGTGATGGATGTCAAAGATCTGACGCTCGTTGAGGCTGTCCCCGTGACCATCGGATTTGGGCAGGAGTCAGAGAAGTATGTGAGGGTGATCGAGAGAAACACTCCCTATCCAACGCGCGTCGTTCGAAAAAACTGGCAAACCACCTACGATGGCGCCAAATCTTGTCACTTGTTCGTGTACGAGGGCGAGAGAGAGAAAGCCAACGAGAACAACCTCCTCGGCAAGCTCTTCTTGAGTGGGCTTCAGCCGGGACCACCCGGCAGCGGGCGGGAAAGAGTGGCATTGGAGGCCATCCTGGAGATCGACGATGACGGGATCTTAACGGCTACTTTTCGAACGAGAACAAGGCGTCGAAGAATTCAAAGTCAAAGCTCTGGCGATGGCGGCGGTGATGGTCAACATAGGTCGTCGGAACGGTCAATCACCAAATCGTTTGGTCGAAAGTGGGGCACCTTTGGCGCGGCGGAGGCTCAGGCCGTCATGAGAGAGGCCATGCAGTGTGCAGAGGATGACAGAGCGGATGTTGCCAAAACCACGGCCAGATGCAGATTACTCCAATACGTTTATCGTACAAGATGGCGGCTGAGTTTAATCACGGACCCAAAGAGGAGAGACAGATTGAGAGAGCTGCTGGATGTGGAGGAATCCTGGTGGGAGGTGAACAAGGATACCCTCCTTGAGGTGGCAGAGTACAGCGAACGAAGAAAAAGACTGGAGAAAGCTTGTGGGCGATTTTGATCGCACGTGGCCGCCTTTCTTGTTCAGGTGCGGACGACGATCGTCATTCAGTTTCAGGTTGTCAGAGTAACACTGCGATCGAAGAACAAGAGACTTCAAAAGAAAGCTTGTTGTGGGCGTCTTTGAATGCATTAAGCCAGCAATCTGGTCGAGGTGCGGACACCGAGCGTCATCTGTTTCAGGTGTCAAGAATAGTGGAGTTATTGAATGAAGAAAAAGAAGCTTGAGAACGTTCATGGGCACCTTTGGAATGTATTTGGCTGCTGGCGTGGGTCAGGTGCGGAAGCCGATCCTTCATTTTCATGACCATTCCCCCTGGGAAGCACAGCACTTTGCATGTACCTGATTGCGATTATGTCCAGATTCAGCTCTTTATGCAAACCATTGGCAAGTCAAATAACGATATTATTATCCTCTTTGAGGTGGCGGAGCACAGCTATCGGAGAAAAAAAGACTTGTGGGCGTTTTTGAGTGCATCTGGCCGCCTTTCTCGTTCAGGTGCAGAGGCCGATCATCATCTGTGTCTGGTGTCGGAGTTAGCACAGCGATCGCACTGCCAGGAAAAGAGACTGGACAAAGCTTGTGGGCGCTTTGGAATGTATTTGGCTTCTAACCTTGGTCAGGTACGGAAGCTGATCATCATTTGTTTCACGACCACCCCCCTTTGAAGCGAAACGCCTGCTCTCCGTTTGCATCCTCTTATGCATCTGGTCGCTATTACTGCCAGATTCCGTTCGGTCTGCGAATCATGTGCATTCTCTAAGGAGGCCCCGGGCTCATGTGGTGGACAGTGGACACGTCCTTGACATTATGCGGTGGCTTTCTTGTACCTTTTTTTTTTTTTTTTTTTTTTTTTTTTTCGAGTTCAGAAGTTCCTTTTTTTTTTTTTTTTTTTTTAATGACATTATGAATTGAATTGGATTCTTTTTTTTTGGTTTTTGGTTCTCCCCGGCGATCCATGTCAAATTATCCGCGATCATGATTGATTCTTTGATTGACCCTTTTTTTTTTTTTTTTTTTTTTTTTTTCCTCCGCCGGGCGAGTTAGAAATTACGAACCAGCAAGCAGGCATTAGGTGTTGACAACGGAGGTTCTGTTTTTGAATTTTCGAATTTTAATTATTTGATAGAATTTATCATAATAGATTGAATTTCTAGATGAGAGAAAAAGAAATTTACCCACCCTTGCATGAGGACGAGGTCCCTTGATGGCAGTTGGGACGGGCAAAGGTTTTCAAAACTCCCCCACCCAAGGTGGGGACACTACAGTTTTTTTTTTTCTTCTGGAAATGTGTCACTGAAGCGAAGGATGTTTCTGCGGCGATGTTCCACTCAGCCTGAGAATTCTTCATCTGGATCTGTAGATTAGGAGACCAGTCAATGGCCAGCGATGAAATGGGGGACGGGATATGGGACACATGGGACAGATAGGAGAGATGGGAGAGATGGGAGGTATGGGAGAGGTGGGAGAGATGGAAGAAGCGGGATGTGGGGTCTCGCTTCACTGCAGGAGATTCCAAATTCCAAATGTATTTGGACCGTTTTTTGTCCAAATATGTTCGAAGTGCTAGATCAGCCCGAATGTATCTGGTCCCCGGCTCAGTCCAGTTATGGGAGAGACGGGATATATGAGACCTCGCTCCACTGCAGGAGATCCTAAATATATAGGGACCACTTTTCATCCAGATACGTTGAAAATGTTATAGATCATGCCGAATGTATCCGGTCGACGGCGCAGTCCAGTTATGGGAGAGGAGGGAGAGAGAGGACTGACAGGAGATGGGGCCTCGCTCCACTGCAGTAAATCCTAAATGTATCTGGACGAAAAACTGTTCACAATGTTAGATCAGGCTGAATGTATCTGGTCCACGGCTCAGCGCAGTTACAGAGGTAGAACATTGAGTAGTGGAGCGAGGCCCATGGGAGAGTCGTGAAATCGGAGAGAAGGTCATGATAAGTTGGACTTGCCACGGTCTCTCTGGTGAAGGACTGGGCAGGACAATGTCAAAAGTCAAACTTGGGTGGGTGAATGTCAAAAGTCAAACTTGGGCGGGTCAATGTCAAAAGTCAAACTTGGGCGGGCCAAAGTCAAACGACGGCCCAGCACAGTCAACGTCTTGAGGTGAGTTCTAGAAGATAGCATCTAGAGGAGGACGAGGCAAAACATTGTACCCTCGATCTTTTTCTTTATTTCTTTATTTATTTATTTATTCAGACATTTCTGTCCGATGGTTAAGCAAGAGAAGAAGAGACTTGCTGTTGGATTCTTGTGTACGGTGGTGAATGGGGTCGGCATGGTGGTCAGGTTCGTAGGAAGAGCCCATCATGGGAAAGGCCAGGTCCAAAGGTGCCTTGCACATAAAACATTGCAGATTTGCAGATGCTCAATCTTGAAGGGGGAGTGAGGAGGGAGAGGGAGGAAGGAGGGAGGTGGAGGGAGGGGGAGGGAGGAGGGAGGAGGAGGGAGGGGGGGGGAGKGGGAGAGGGAAAGTGTGAGGGGAAGAGGGAGAGGAGATCTATACTCGAGGAAAGTGTGAGGGGAAGAGGTGAGCCCCCCCCCCCCCCTTCCCTGCTTCTCCCCTCCCTAAACTTGCCTGGATCTTTGAATCTGGACCTTCCATTGCGCACAAAGACAGCAGGAATGCCACAAGGTATTTCACTGGCCTGATCAGTTCAAAGCATTGACAATCCAGTGAAATAGTCTTTTTTTTGGGGGGGGGGGGAAGGGGGGTGGTGTCACCAAAATAGTCTAAGGACATAGTAATCTCATCTCATCTCTCCTAAAACCACCCCTTCTATCTGGTATGCTGATCTTTTTCAAATTTTCTAATCCCTCCCCTGTTTCCCTCTACCCTCTCCCCTCCCCTATTCCATACTGTCTTTTAATCTCCATGGGGCAATGGAGTTGGTAAATGTGGGCCTGCTTTTGCTCTAGGCGCCAGCGGGACGGGCCCGGTCCCGGTGTGAACACCCATCTGGAGTTGTACTATAATTGGGAACTTGGGAGTTGAGGGCAGGGTGTAATTTAATGAAGATGATTGATTATTAAATAAAATTAATATTTACGGTGATGGATTTTTTTATTTTATTTTTTCTCTAATGCTCTCAAGGAAATAGAGGGTCTCGTGTCGGCCTCTATTCCCACTGTTGGGAAAGACGGGGTGATTTTCGGCTTTGCTTTGCTGGGAAATCAGGAATGGGCCCAGTGCCCGGGAAGGGAATGGTCAAGCAGGCTGACATGCCCAGGCAGCCTGAAGCAACGCGTCCGTGGGAAAGACGCGGTCCGAGGAGGGCAAAGCGAGGGGCCCGGTGCGAAATGGCCCAGCTGCGGGAAAAGTGCAGGGAGAGGAGCGGCCCGGGTCGAACGTGGGAGTGACGTGGACGGGGTGTTGGGCGCTGTGCACGGTATTGGCCAGAGGGATGTGGGAGTGACGTGGGCGGGCATTGACTGAGAACTCGGACCTCAGAGAGAGAGAGAGAGAGAGAGAGAGTCGGGGTCGGTTATACTGTATTGGTTTGCTGAGGGCCGCTGCATGAGAACTGGCACCTCCCCGAGAGAGAGAGAGAGAGAGAGAGAGAGAG